CGGGGATGGAGCTGGTCTGCACAGAGCCCAGCGGGGATGGAGCTGGTTTGCACAGAGCTCAGTGGGGATGGAGCTGGGCTCTGCTGGTCAGCACAGAGCTCAGTGCGGATGGAGCTGGACTCTGCTGGTCAGCACAGAGCTCAGTGGTGATGGAGTTGGTCTGCACAGAGCTCAGTGGGGATGGAGCTGGGCTCTGCTGGTCTGTGGATTTTGCTCTGTACCAAAGCAAACTTAGCATTTCTCCGGTCAACTTACAATAGGATTGGCTGATCTGAGGTGATGATATTTCCATTTACATGAAGGTTACATTTCATTGGCTGACCTGTGGAGGAATGGAAAGGACACACTGGTTGAGAATTCACAGAACTTCCAGTCTTCACCACGCACACAACCTTCCTTGCACTGTCCTGCAGCTCTCTCACTCTGTGTAGATTTGTAACATCTGCACCACCCAACATATACTGGCTGATCGGTTTCATGATTGAGCAGTTCCAACTCCAAAAAAATTGATATCACACTCAATATGTTAACTTCGTTTCTCTCTCACCACAGACACCATCTGTGTTGCTGAGTTTCTCCAGCATTTTCTGTTGTAATAATGTTCGATTACTGTGTTTTCAGGGGAGCATACTTTGTTAATCTCTTTGAGAGTGGGGACTGAGAAACACCAGCCAGTGTACAGATATCTCCCAGAGTGAGAGAGAGGGCTGAGAGACAGCAGTCAGAGAGAGGGAGGGACGGGGAGGGTGGGTTGGGAGAGCGAGAGCCAGAGCAAGAACGTGCGAGAGAGAAAGAGAACGCGTGAGAGAGAGAGGTCTGAAAGACCAGTGTGCAGATAATTCCCTGAGAGATAGGACTTGAGGACGAAGGCTGTGGGACCAAGAGGGTGGTAGGGAGAGCAAGCACAGGGTCTTGGGGGAGGTGAGGCAGAGACACGAAGGCACTGGGGGTAGTGAGGTGATGTCGGAGGTTAATTAAGCAGGGCAAGAGGGGCATGGGCAATGAGGTCAGGGGATGAGGGGTGTGTGTGTGTGTGTGTGTGTGTGTGTGGGCGGCGGTGGTGATGGCCCGAGAGGGAAGGCCAAACACGGGGACATGGTTAGTGATGGAAAGAGCAAAGGCAAGAACGAGTGAGTGGGTGAGCAAAGTGTTGGGAGGAGAGAGGTATAGCGAGGGGTCAGTAAGGGAGGGCGGGGAAGTGCATGGGCAGATGGGTGAAAGTGAGGGGGAGAGAGTTTGGTGACAAAGGTGGGGGCTAAGTGTGGAAGGAAGAGTGAGTGAGGAGGGACAGGGGATTGATGAGGCAGTGAGGAGGCAGGAGGGGAGGTTGGGACTGACAGGGTGAGTAGGGGGTGAGTGAAGAGTTTCTGAGTGAGGAGGCAGTGACAGGGAATGAAATGGCAGTTGAGGGGCTGGAGAGAGGAAGCAGGAGGCGGAGTGAGGGGGCAGCTAGGTTGGGTGAATCCTACAGCAGCAGGATGGGTTAATACCATCTAAACATCTGTTGTTGTATTTTTTGTAAGCAGTAATGGCATCATCCTTCCGGACGAAGACGACTTCAGCGAGTCCCGGGTGAAGGAGACGAGCCCGTTTCAGAGCCCCACAGACACAGAACAATTCCTGAGTACAGAAACAACAGGTTAGTCCTGGAGCCCATTACAGAAAAACAACACTTCCATTTGTTAAACACCCTCAAACAGAGCAATAACACCTTCTCACTCCACCCAACCCTACCCCACACTGCCCCTGAACACTCACCAACACACTGACCATCTCTAAACGGACAGATCCCAGCCCCTGGCACGGCAGCGAGCACCTGACATTCAGGGACCTTCACACACATCACAATGAATAAACCTCACCCGGGGACACGGTTAGACTGCACTCGCTGTAATGACTGCCCTTGCCACTCCACAGATGGACTGAGTCACTCACCACAATGTCCTCTTCGGTCACTCGTGGATGTAGATTATTGACGGTCATTTTTGTTCCCTCCAACGGGCTCAGGTTCAGCTGTAAGGGAGACAAATCAGACACGTTACCCTTAGTAACAGAAGCATAGGCTAACCAAACTGGTTATCAAAACTGGTTAGTTTTGCTGGAGTCCACAAGTAAAATACTCCTGATCTGTGGGAGTGACCTGACGTTGAATATCAGACTGTAGCGTGGGGTACACCCAGATACAATGAGAATCTCGGGGCAGCAGAACAAGACAGGCACCACAAACAAAATGCAACCTGCCCACTCCTTAATTCCTGTGTTTTAAAGTCAGCTCCTATTGGACTACAGTAGAAAGTGAGAGCACGCAGATTCAGATGAGGAACAGCCCACAGCCAGCCCTGTTTTGGGAGAGGAGTAGCAGAGCGGAACTTGGGATGGAGTCCCCTAGTGGTACATATTTTAGAATATAAGAGCACCACTGAATGTCAGTAGCCTCTGAAGGCACATAAAGGAGCACAGGGAGAGAAATCCACTTGGTTACACCTTCCTCCAGTAAGATTTGTATCTCAAGCTGCAATATATATGTCATTCTGCACAGCCTGTGGGCTGATAATCCAAAACTATAATTCTGAGTGGCTCATGGGCTCTGGAAGTCAGTGATTAATGTGGAATTGTGAATGACCAGTACCTCCAGAGGCAACACGTCACTAGCTGGGTCCTGTTCTGCCGCTAGTGCTGCTGTTCTTGATGTGTTTGTTGGTGATCTGCAGCGTGTGAGGGTGAGAGGAGGTGGAGGAGGAGCAGTATACGAGTCGTTCTGGACAACTTTCGTCAGAGGCACAGGCTTCCCCAGTGACAGCTTCGAGGCAGTGAAACCAGGCTACACAGGAAGAGCACAGGAAAGAAAAGACGACAGTTTATTGCAGATTAAATTTCTCACACTCTAAGTTTAAATCTCACACACGTCACATCGCAGGTGGCCCCTGAGACTGGATGATTATTTAAAGCTGAATGTTTAAAAATTTCAAACTTTGCTGACCTTGAGACATAGATCTCATCTGGGTGTGGTATTGGTTTGAAGCATTCCCTTCAACTATCTGATCACGCTGTCACTGAAAGTCCCTCTTGCTATTTGCTCAGCATTCCTGATTTTTAATTTCTATTCCCAGTATTCAGCCTTCCCTTTATAATCTGCTTTTACTTTACCAATTTGTCACTTTGTTTAATGGCACCTCTCCTCTCATCTGGTCCAGAATTACTCATGTTCAAAATCTTTGGTTCATCAGATGGGTTTGAAATTGCTCTCTGATCTGTTGCTGCTGTCAACACTAGTCCAATATATTAATCAGAATCTCTGGTATAACAGCAGTATCCCGCTGTGATAACCTGAAGCTCTGTGATGTGTAATGGGCTGGGGACAGTGTATTTCCACTTGGGGCAGGGGTGCTCTGTTTGACCAAGTTCTGGCCCTGATTGGTCTGCTGGTGAGAATGCTCAGAAATAGTCAGGAAGCCAGGAAAGGGAATCTGAGGTGGAGTGGCTGCGAAGGCAACAAAATCTAGAAAGGAACCAAAAATCAGTTCAGGACTATTAGCCTGTGGGGAAAGGAGAAACTTTACGTTGCAGACTGCCCACGTCAGCATCGAGTGTGCTCTGGTGAAATAATGTATAGTATGAAAAGATAGAAAAGAGCTCTGCATTTAGAAGAGGAACCCAATGTCTAGGCTTTGAAGCCTAGGTGACCCAGTCTGTTTTATGAATCAGCCTACAAAGCAGAATATAGGTACTTAGGATATAAATTAAAAGTTACCACTTCCGCGGTAGAAATCTCAGGATTACTGCCGCTGCCACATTCTAGCAACAGTAAAAGTAACAGGAGGTGCCAGATGAATGGAGAAATAGTGTAGAAGATAGGGATTCTGATTCCTGGGACACTAGGACCAGTTCTGGGAAAGGTGGAAATGGTACAAGCAGGACCGGAAAATGCGGATGCATGTAGGGATCTTTGTACTTCAGTTAATTAAACAGCCAGTTGCATCAAGCAATGAGGAAGGCATATTGTTTGTTGATCTTCATTACAAGAGGGTTTGAATTCAGAAGGAGGGATGTCTTACTGCAATCACACAGGACCTTGGCCAGACCATAGCTGGAGTACTGCATGCAATTTTGCTCTTCCTAGTTAAGCAAAAGAATACTTGCCACAGAGGCAGTGCAGGGAGATTCACTAGTTTCATACTGGGGATGGCAGGTCTGTCATATGGGAAGAAATTGGTTCAAATGGGGCCTGTATTCCCTTGAATTTAGAAGGATGAGAGTGGTTCTGATTGGAATGTCTAAAATTCTAACTTGGCTAGACAGACTAGATACAGCAAGGGTGCATGCCTTGATTGGAGAGTCCAGAATTAGGGATCACAGTCTCAGGAAACAAGGTAGTGAGTAAGCTTTGTGCATGAACAATTGGGAGAGAGACTGAGCGTGTATCTGGGAATTTAGAGCACTGTGGAAATTTGGTGAAGAGGTGCTTTTGGCTTTTTTTTTGGGTCTATAAGGTCCTTTTTGTGGTTTACGGCTTGTAAAGGCCATATTCTATAGTAACAGGACCTGGGAATAAGGGCACTAAAGTAATTAATGTTACTTGATATAAAGCAACTTTTAAAAGGTTTAAAGAGGTAAATGATTAAAAAAAAAGGATGAGGCTCTAAAAGCAGAATGTAGGGACATAGGAAATAAATTGAAAAGTAGGACCTCAAAGTTAGTGATCTCAGGATTACTACCAGTGCCAAATGCTACTCAGAATAGAAATAACAGGATGTATCAGGTGAAAGCATGGTTGAAGAGAGGGGAGGATTCCAGATTCTTGGGGCATTGGGACTAGTTCTGGGAGGTGGGACAAGCTGAACAGGTTGAAGCTGGACAGAACTGGAATGGATGTCTTTGGTGGAGTATTTCCTAGAGTGGTTAGGGGGGCTATAAAATAAAACGGCAAGAGGATGGGGACCTATCCAAGGAGTCAGAGATAGGGGAACCAAGGACAAGAGCAAAAGACATAAAGAGAAATAACAGAAGTGGTAGGCAGAGAAATCCAAGGGCCGAATCAAACTTAGCCACAGTAAAAATTAATGGAACTGGACAAGTAATATTAAAAAGCTTTGTGCCTTACTGTGTGGAGCACTCACAATAAAGTGGAGGAATTAACTGTGCAAATCAATGCAAATGAGTGTGAAATAGTCAGGATTTGGCGATGTGGTTGCACAGTGTCCAGGGATGGGAATTGAACATCCAAGGGTATTCAGTATTTGGTAAAGACAGATAAAAAGGAAAAGGTTGTGGAGTTGCATTACTGGTTGAAGAAGAAATGAACACAACAGTGAGGGAGGACATTAGCTCCAATGACGTGGAATCTGTATGGATAGAGGCTGACAAACACCAAAGGGCAAAAAGCATTTGTGAGAGTTGTATATACAGCCCAAAACTGTATGGATGAAGTTGGCTGTTACAAAGCTGTGTGGAGGAATCATGAATTGGAAGGCAGGAAGCTAGAATTTGTTCGTTAAAACAAAAGGGAGAAGAGTGCGTGGTTCCTTTAAGAGGTAAAGTGCTTTTCTAAGCTTAGAGATTTATACAGAGAGAAAAAAATTGTCTATGTAGCTGAAGATGTACAGACAGTTCTGAAATTGATTGGAAATCTCAGGCTTGTTTTGATATTTTGGCAACTACCTGGAATCAGCCAATTAATTTAAACCAAGCACTTAGTGATTGAAAGCCAATTGAATTTAAATCTGATGGTTTTGACAACCTTGGACCAATGCTATTGTAAGAAAATTGATGTGTCATCCAAGGTATATAACGAGAGGGTTTTTGAAAATTGGTGTGAGAATGATCCGCCATCTGAGAAACAAGCATGTAGTTCTCACAAGAAATTGCTAAGCTCTCTAAGAAAGCATCATTCATCCATAAAAGGTACCACAGCACTTCTAGCTAAGAGTCCTCACAGAAGACTTCACAGAAGAAATATCCCTGACGGGCAGATCAGCAGATGAAAGGCTTTTACGACTTGAGAACAGCAGATGAAAGGTGTGTAGACTTTGAGAGACTAAGTTTTAATTTATTTTCTTATTACTTGGGTTTATATAAAAGTGAGACTTGTGTTTATTGGAACTACATACCAGTAGAATTTAGTTCAGTTAGGAAATAGTTAGTAGTTAAGGGGGAATTGTTTCGTTTGTTAGTCATTTTGTTAATTTGTTCACCGTTAGGGTTAAATAAATAAATTGTTACTTGTAAAGTGACCATCAGGGATTTTCTTTCATTTAACCACTCTTTTTAACAGATTATAAAGGTGAAGTGAACTTCTCTGGGTGTTTTGGGTTTAATTATTAGAAAGGAATCTCTACTCTTGCTATAACAGATTGGGGGCTTGTGTTTCAGTTTAATTATCAGAGGGGTTCGACCTCCTCTTCTCCGTAACATGGCAATGGCATTAAACAGGAAATTTGTTGTAAATTGTACAATAAAGGAATATCTGTAATTATGAGATAGTGGGAACTGCTGATGCTGGAGAATCTGAGATAACAAGGTGTACAGCTGGATGAACACAGCAGGCCAAGCAGCATCAGAGGAGCAGGAAAGCTGATGTTTCGGGTCTGGACCCTTTTCTGAAGAAGGGTCCAGACCCAAAACGTCAGCTTTCCTACT